GTGTGTGTGTGTGTGTGTGTGTGTGTGTGTGTGTGTTGGGGGGGGGGGGGGTCTGGACACATTCCATACATTATAGAGTCTGTAGACATGCAATAAATACAAAAGTGATTTTGAACTCACCACTTTAAAGAGAATACTTATTTAACAGACTTTCTAAAACTTTTAGGAAAAGTTCATTTTAAAGTATCGAGAAATTAGTTAAGTTACATAAAATGTTAAACAGTCTGTACTTATATAGAGCTTGTACTATTTAAATGTTCAGGCCAAGACACCAGGCCTGTGAAACACAGTAGCTTTACAGCCTACCTTCCTTTTTAAACGGGCCTTTAGTTGAATGTTTGTCATTCTTATTGTTTCATTTCACTTTATATTTATTTGTATTCAGTTATAATATCTGTTTTGTTTTCTGTATACTGCTGTGTCATGGTTTTCTCTATAAAAGTTGCTCAATAAAAACAGCTCATTAAGGATAACCTTTACGACAAAAACACCCGCATGTGGATCAGGTGCAAAACAAAACTGAAAGGCATAGTGGAGGACCTGTGATGCTGTGGGTCCAAAATATTACAGAAAACTGTAAGTTTAGCTAAGCAATGAGAATATGCAAAGAGGGGTCAGAATTCTGGAGAACTTGGGGAGATTTTTTAAAGAGGAACCATCAGATTATTCTGTCTGTATCATTTAACCTTGAGGTAAACAAAAAAATCTGCAAAGTATTAGCTGCCGAGGGATTTTCTCAACATCTGAACTGCATCATCAGCGAATACATGCAGTCATGTGATAAATACAACGTGGTACTGTAAAGAAAATAAACCCAAATTAGGAATAAGGTGGCAGAACTTGGACCAACAACAGGCTGCATGATCCTGAACCATTTCAACTTTTATCTAACAACCATTTAGTCAGATTATTTCTCTTTTTGTGTCCACAGAAAGAAAAGCCCCACAGAGAGCAACAGCACTGCACTCTACAACATTAGAGTTGATTAGTCAGAGCAAAAAGAGGATTAATTGTGAAAATAACAGACTCACGACAACACCAAATGTGGATTAATACACAAAGTTCTCCTTCTGGGTGTTCAAGGAACTTTTTAATACCCAGATTTAGAAAAGCTGGAAAATATTGAAGAAAGTCAAACATGGATTTATGAAGGTTTTAATGAGTAAAAGGAAATAAAAATACTTTAATTTCTCAATATCTTTGTTACACAGAGATGGAAATAGAGCAAAAATACATAAAATTCTTTTAAACTTTTTAATCAGTTTGATTTATAAAACAGCAGTCAAACTAGCACCACAGAATGTCTAATGAGCGTATTAAACTACAGACTAAACTGCTGAAAACAGTGATGTTAATGGAGGGTGGTGACGTTATGAGATGAACAGAGGCTTTGTTATCTGTTGAGTAATGAAGGGGGCTTTCCTGCAAAACTATCAAAGCTGGCTTCATTTAGGAGAGGACCCAAAAGGGACGAGGTTGAGGCCTCACTACCCTGCAGTACAACGTTAATACTTCAGGAAGTCATTCAGATTTCGACAGGTTTTTAAACGGCCTCATTATACAGTCGAAATGTGGGTGTTTGTTAGAGAGTTGCTGTTAGGTTCTGGATAGAGGTAGAAAATTTAGAGAGGAATAAAGATTTGCACAGGCTCTTACCAGTGCATATCGGCATTAAAGGAAATAGAGTATAGTGTCAAGATTCTACCAAAAGTGAGCAAATGCAATAAATACTCCTACAAGCAGCTGCATTTCATACAGACACTAATAACCTACTGTTTGCATGCATGTTTAATGTTTTACATGCACAAATAGGCTTCCACCCCCAATATAACACATTAGTCCTAATTCCTTCTCTGCGTGCTTATGGCTTGATCTCCATGCACATGCAGCCTCCCTCCTCCTCATATGTGGACCTGTTTCTGATCGCTTCGGTCAAATTTAGTCGCTTTAAAGGCATGTCTGCAGAAGCACAGACAGGACATATTCACAGCACTGCACTGGTGATGCTGTACTGCTGTTTACTAACTGACGGTTTGCTATGGGACCACCGTGCATATTTAAAGGGGAACACCGTTTTTTTTACATTGGGCCCTTTATTTTACGTTATTACATCATGTTCTACTCACCCATATAAGTTGCGCATCATTTGGAGCTTTTCTGAAGATATTCTGTTAGGTTATATCCAAGTAACGTCTTCCTATGGGCAACGACTTGAAGGCACAAACTAAACTGTTCATAATTTATTCTTTATGGTACACCAGCATTCATAGCATGTAAGCGAATCACTGTCCCCCAGACATCCACGGTTATATTTTTTATATTTCTATTTTTTAAAAACAAAGCGGCGCGTGTATGACGTCATCCGCGCACGCTGGCTACCGTTCATTCATCCTGTCCTCTGAACTGCTGCTAGTTTTCCTCACATGCCTGGAAGATGTCTAGTGCTGCTACCACAGATGATCTCGCTCTCAAAATGGGATTGAACGATTCAGATTAGCTAGCCTAATGAATAGTAGGGGTAGAGCGTAGCCGCCTGTGGTCTGGGCTGCCTGTTACAACTCCAGTCCGGCGCGCCGATGACGTCATACACGCGCCTCTTTGTTTTTAAAAGATATAAATATAAAAAATATAACCGCGGATGTCTAGGGGACAGTGATTCGCCTACATGTTATGAATGCTGGCGTACAATAAAGAATAAATTATTAACAGCTTAGTTTGTGCCTTCAAGTCGTTGCCCATAGGAAGACGTTACTTGGATATAACCTAACGGAATATCTTTAGAACGGCTCCAAATGACACAAAACTAATATGGGTGAGTAGAACATGATGTAGTAACGTAAAATCAAGGGCCAAATGTAAAAAAGAAAACTGTGTTCCCCTTTAAGACGGCATCAATAACCATGTCAATCAAGTCTTCCTCTGTACGCTGTAAAGGTCTGTACAGGGTATTCTGCCCGTTTTATAGCGTATTATGCAGCACAAAGCCTATACAAAACATAGGAGAGATGGATGGGCTCATTGCTTTTGGTATTTTAGTGCTTCATCATTAGCAATAACAAAAACTGGACATGCATGTGTATTCTTTCACAATTCCTGCCCCTGGTTCCTTTAATGCATGTAGGCCCATGAGCTGAATTTCATTAAGGGGATTGGCTGTGTTAGCTGTGACACATTTATGTCCTTATTTGCACATATTATGTAAGAAACCTGTCTGTCTCAGCACTTATGAGGATGACCCACCTTACCCTTTAATTTACTACTTCATACATATCCTGGACTTAAACTTCCTGAGTATGCTTGCATGCAGATAAACATATAGCCTCGCCCAGCCTGCAGACAGCGAGGGCAACCTTCAAAGGTAGGGGTGGAGTTTTTTGGAAAGTTCAAGGATTCACTCTGAAACTTTACCAAGTGAGTTTGCTGTGCTGGTTTGTAAACAAGTGGTTCAGTACCCCATGAGGCCTCGTGTCACCATCATCACTAATATACAGAAATAAGCATCTGCTTCTAATTAGGACTGTTATCCTCTACAAATGGAGCAAAAAGAGAACAAATGGTGGGAAAAATAAGTAATTTGATTGATTATGACATCACTTATCATCTTAAAAAATGTTTTCTAACTAATGCTACTTGACATAAAGAGCCAATTAAAAAACATCTCCAGCCCTCATGAGAGAGTGAATGAATGGACCTGAAAGAAAAACATTTTTTTTAACTGATCCAGGAAGACTGTAGTTGGATTTGGCAGCTGCACTGTGCTGCTCCTTTTACATTGTGTTGTTAGTGTATAAGTCATGTGGGCCGAACATGATCTGAGGCTCTGGAGACGTCTCCATCTGACCTCCGAAATCCTCAGATGTGAAAAACAAAAAGCATTTCTTATAAATACCCCATTAGAGTATTAATGAAAGCTAAGGAGCTCAAACATTCTGGGAAACACTGATTCAAACTTTCTTCACCAAGTAAAAGCAGTTTATTATCGATAAACAAGAGTAAAAAAGATGCTACTAAAAAGTGGAACATTAGGAGACGCTTTTAAAGGCAACTCTGCTGCTTAATGTCTTTTAGAGAAACAACCCTGAAGTTGCTTTAGCGGCCATCTATTCTGTGGCTTTTATAGCTTTGAATAAGTAAACGTAGTCCACTTCCTGCTGAGGGCATTCCCTTTCTAATAAAGCTGTGTGAGACTCGATTCTTCTGCCAGGCAGGTAATGGCCTCGTTAAGACACTCGTTAAACGACAGCAGTACGATAAAGACATGGGCCGCTGCGATCTCCACCACCCAGCAGGTCAGATCCTGTTTCAGGTGCAGCAGGAAAAACAGAAGCCATGTTGGATTTTTATAACTCTATCATTCACAGCACTAAACCCACCAACTGGAGCCGTATATAACCCCCATTACAACTGGATGCTGTCGAAGAAACACTATTGAACAAAAATTAGGATTGGACTGGCTGATGAGCTGTAATCCCTGATAATTCCTCTGTAAGAATATGCTATTAGGCTGAGATTATGCAAGAAATAATCTGAATATTTTAGTCCACCTTGGCATTATAATCAAGCCGAACATCATTCAGATACATTTAAAATTGCAACAAGGAAGTACATTGGTTGATCTAGTGAGATACAAAAAAAAAATAACAAAAATAGAACTAATTATATTTATAGTTTATTTATGAAAATATGCCATTTTTGGCCCCAATTGATGAATGGAAGAGCATCATAGCAAATTCACCCCTTATCACCCGCTGTTTGCATACTTTCTTTTATTATTTTGATGAATTATTTTTGCTGATGAGCTCCAAGTATTTGCAGTTGAAAGGCCTCCAAACCATAACCCTGATCTTTAACTTCCCACACATTTCCAGTCCAGACAATCTTTGAGTCGCTCCAGATGGTTTTTACTTCCAGTCAAAAGACAGATGCCGCTAAGATGAAGAATTTGGGCTGAGCTTTGTGATTCTGAGCTTCGGTCCTTACCTGGCGGTGTGTAGGCATCCATGGAGGTCTGAACCACCAGTGATCGGCGCTTAGAAGGCATCGGCACAGCCATTTTTCTTTCTTTATGTTTCGCCAGTGCAGCCTGGACGGCCTCCGTGTGCACATCTGGAAACACATTTACAACAATTATGTACAGTTTAAGTGAGAAATAAAAGAAATAAGATTCAAGCTACGTTAACTAAAATAGTGGAATAAAACCCCCTTGACTGAAAACTATGTCTAAATATCGTGATGCGCTCATTATTTTAGCAACTTATCCCATGAAAAGCAAATAGCCTCTGATATAACTAGCTCTTTATCAAATAGACTATAAACCCCTGGGTTCTATTAATCATCTCTATGTAAGTTAGGCTTTAGTTAAATTAGAAGAATAATTTATATTACAAAAGCGGCTGCTTTGGATAATGAATATATATCAACTTCACTTTTTATAGATCTCTTAGAGCATTTGGTTGTGTAGATCTTGGCATTATCTTATAAATTTTCAAATCGTTTTTTAACATTCCACACTACAAAATGAGTTATCAATTATGTATGATTCCCACTGATATCACATCAGGTCATTATTGATATCATTCAATACTCAAAGCTACAAAACTGGTATTTTTTCCGAAATGACAAACTTGTAACGACACATCCCTAATCACTTGCAGATCACCAGGTTTTTGGCCATCAATCTTTCAAACTGGAGGAATGTGTAACTTGTTTTCCCAGNAGCAAGAAACTAGGGTGTCATGATTGATGACCAGCTTTAAAGATCATGTTACCTCAGTTTCTCGATCTAGTCGCTTCACATTACTACACATTACAAAGATCTGTCCATAGCTAACCCAACATGCTACCCAGATCCTGGTGCAATCTATGGTTATCTCCCATCTTGACCACTGTAACCCCTTCCTTCCAGAAGGCGGCGGTTTGTCTGGTCTTCAGTCAGCCCCAAGAGTCTCACGCCAACCCTCTGTTCATTGAGCTTCACTGGTTACCCCTGGCTGCCCGCATCAAATTCGGGTTCCTGATGTTAGCCTACAAAGTGCTTAATGGTACGGCTCCCCTCACCCTCCAGCAAAGGCTTGCGTCACAACTCGGTCACTCTGGTCATCAATGGATTGGCGTCCATCAGTGCCTAAGCCATGCTTAAGACAATGCAGACTGTTTTCATGTGTTGTTCCAAGATGGTGGAACGACCTACTAAGCGCTACAAGAACAGCGGCGTCCCTTTCTATTTTCAGGAAACTTTTAAAGACACACATCTTACCCATACCTGTATACCTCTCTACTCTTTCTGTACTTCTCTCTCTGTGCTTTCACCACTGATTCTGACTAGAGATTTACCTCAAGAGAACTTCTTCTCATATTGATGATAACTGTAGCATTGTGTCTACTTTGTAAGTCGCTTTGGATGAAAGCGTCTGCTAAATGCATAAACATAAGTTGACTCAGTTAAACAATTTTACTTGAAAAGTACAGGAAGCATCTGGATTAAAAATGAAGACCCTCCCTAAAAGAAACTACTTCTCCTCTAAGATCGCTGTTAACACAACCCACACATCTACAAGTTTTATAAGATATACTGTAAGTTCAAACACTTCACCAAAACCCTACAAGTTTTTGGTTTTGGTGAATTACATCCGCCATAAAATACTCTCAGGTGGAATTGGGATTATCCGCCAGACCTCCAACAGTAAAGGTATAAATCATTTAGAGCACATGTTTAATGGAAACATTTCAATACCCTTTAATGGTTTAAAAGAAAAAAAAAAAAGAAATGATCTAAATATATCCAACTAAAAACTATTACCAGTCCAAATTTCAGATTAAACAGATTAACAGAATTAGGACTAACCAGCTATTTAATCTTTAACAGCCAAACTTACTTTTAGAAGATTTAGGAGCTATTTTCCTTTCAGCAAATTGGATGCTGGGACTGATATTAAGTATTTTAGTGAAGTTGGCATAAATGCTTTTAAAATGAGCAAAGATATCAACGTGCAGCCGATACAGATAAAAAGAGTTTAATACACAGGAAGAACAATTTTCCAAATGGGCGTCTATCTGATGAACATATACAAATATGGTGTACATCAACATGTAAGTGATATCTACAAGATAGCTGCGACTATGAACACGCTGGCTGTTTATAGCGTTTGTGAAGATCCTATCAACATATTATGGTCATATCACAAAATTTGGTTTGGAAATAACTAGATGCCCTACATTTCATGCTGTTCTAAGTATTTAAAGAAAACCTCAAGAAAAATAAAACTAAATAAGAGTTTAAACAAAATGATGGCAACTTGAAAAAAAAACACATAAAACCTATGAACTTAGCCTTCTAACAATGATTTTAAGTTACTTGTTTTTTTTTTCATCTTTCTGAATAGAGAGTTAACCAAAGTATAGCTGAAACAATTCATCAGATTTATCCTTAATTAATCAATTATTGAAATAATCAACTAATATAGTAATCAATTAATCAACTCTAAAGCATGTTTTTACCTGAGAAAGTAACCCACTTAGTAGTAATTATAGCAAAATTGTTAAAAAAAATACATTAATGTTTTGCAATCATCTGTTAATATGTTCTATGCAGAACTGAAGATTTATTTTCACCTGGGTTAATTTTGTAAGAAAACCTTTAAGGAAGCTTTGCTATCAGATTATTAATCGAATAAAAAAAATTATAATATAATTAGTTGCAGCCCTAAACCTGAGTATCCTACCCTGGTAGGTAAATCTTTTCCGCTGCCACTGAAAAGCCTTGAGCTTTTGAGAAGCCCGGGTAGCGTTCCTGTTCACATTTACTGAGGTCATTTCACTTTCCACGGCTTCACTTTGGCCCTAATATAGACCTAATCTAGCTTTCCCAAGGCTTTTTAATGGGCTGAAGGTTTCCATGTTCCACCTGCTGCAGCAGTAATGGATGAAGCTTAGTGTACAAATGGTTTTTTAAACTTTGAGATTGTCACAACATAATTTTCAAGATAGTTTTAAGCCTAAAAATTACACCTTAAAACTTAATCTGTGGAGTCAGTTTAGTCAGTTTTAACAAATTGAAAACTTTTGAATTTGTGTAAAAAGTGCAGGTCATTAAAAAGTCAACCTGTCATTAAAAAGTCAACCTTTCATTAAAAAGTCAACCTTTCATTAAAAAGTCATTTAAAGATTATTTTTTAAGTGAGAAAGTAATCTTAAAAATGCATAATGTGTATAGTCAGATTATCAGGATTATGATCAGATTTTCTGTCACAGTCCTGTTGACAGACCAGTCTGGTTGCTATGCTAGTCTAGGTAATTGTGCTGCAGTAGCATTGGGAATGTGCCATAATATAACATGCATTATGTTTTACCAGCAGATTTTGACATTTTTGGTTAATGTGGGTATTAAATATGATGTGTTTTATTACAGTTTAAAGAAAAAAATTTTAACAGAGCACTTTTGGCGGAGGATGCATGATTCTTCAATTAAATTCAGTTTATTTAAATATCACCAATTAACCTTTCATCTCAGGGCACTTTACAGAAGCAACAGTCAAATGGTTAAACATTTCTACCAAGGAAAACCAGATGATTGTATCCAAGCATTGACTTAAAAGGCACGCTCCTCCTGGATGAGCCTGCAGCGACGATTTTCACATGCATTGAAAAAAATATGATATATTCTTCTTCAGTCTGGCTTTTGATGTGTACCTATTTTAGTAAAGTGACCACTTTATATAATGTATAAATATACTGTTTTTTTTGTTGTTGTTTTTTTTCACGCTGAAAGTTTCTGTAAGAGGAGAAATCATGAGCTGGATGCTCTCTGTCCTTAGATCGTCCAAATTTGCTAATGACTATAAAGTCAGGCTATTGATTCCTTGCATGTGGAGACTATCTTTAATAAAATACATTTTGAGTAAAAAACTTTTTTGTTTGTGCTTCAGAAATGTATGAAGGCAACCTGAGGTTAAGTGCACTGCCTAAAGGCATATTATCATGTAGTGGGAAGAGCATGGATGAAACTGCTAACACAGCTTGTTGGTCCAACAAGGAGCAGATATCCATAGCAAGCAAACTGAACTACATGGTACCCACGGAGCGTCCTTAAGGGGGCCTTTTAATCAACCCAGTAACTACTGTCAGTGTAAAAAGCTCCACTAAATCCTCAAAGATGGATGGAGAGATGAGGGAGAAAAGGAAAAGTGACCGAATTTAAATTATAATTTTTTTTTATTTACTTTTTATGATCTGACCAAATCAATTTAACAGCATGTTTCAATTTACAGGGCACTGGGACAGAAGTTAAAACCTATATACACAGATTAATGCATAGGAGGCTTTCTTTAAGCACCATTTTCAGTTTGACATAGGAGGAAAAAACAAAAAGTGTTTGTGGATCTGTTTGATGATTAAATAATGCTGCATTTTAAAGGCAGCAGCAGCTTAGATGTTTACCATTAGAAACAAACCATAACATGTTTCGCTACCTGATCTGTAGCGTTCATCCCGGGAGCCTGAGGACCGCCGTCGGTTATAGCGGGAGGACGAGGAAGGGGTGACCGGTGTTCTCCGCTCCTGGCCCATGGAGGGATCCATTCCTGGAAAAGGAGATGTGGGTCAACTAAACACCTTCACTTTATTAACCACTGGGGTGGAAGACAGCAGAGCAGACGTACAAAAAAAAATGATTTTCAAATTTTTGACTGATGCTGGTGACACAAGATTTGGGTGAAATATAGGGGTGAGTATTGGCATGGGTGTTGCAAGTTGGGGTTAGGGTTAGCAATTATGATATTGCAATGGTAATTGCATTATCACCATATATTGCAATATTTTTCCTGCTATCAAAATTAAATGTATAGATAAAATGGCAAACCTTTTATATGCTCATCAGATGATCATTCAGTTATTGTGGGATCCATGTTGTTTGGGTTGTAGTTAGTCCTCATCTTCCACTGCGCCCCACAGCTAAAGGGCTCCATAACCCATTTTCCCTCAGTTTTAGGTAAAAATGTTTTGCTTTAAAATAAAAATCGATACTAGGAACTAAAAGATCGATATATATCAGGCAGCCAATAATCAGGATATTTTGCCAAAATGATTTTTTTCCTACTGAAATAGTAACAGCCTTTTTACAGATGGAAGAGTTTTATCTGTTAATTCTAAAATGGGATTTGTGGAAAGATTCATAGCAGCAGAATTCACTAAAACTCTAATGAATATACTGGTGAAGATTCTCACCCTGAAACCCTACATCCTCCGTCAGCGCCCCCCTCCGATCCGCCCCGCTATGCTCCAGACCGCCTCCCTAAAGCAAAGCCTACAGCCTCCACTGTTCCTCCCATCTTGCTCCGATGCGACTTCCTCTGAGCTCCAGAAGAGCATGCGCGATATTATTATTAAATTCATAGGAGCAAAACATGTGGAAATAAACGCTTAATTTAATATGACGCGTTCAAAAAAATCCCCATCAGCATCAAGTATATGTGCAGTTTCTGTCCAAATATTTTATTTTTGTTGTAGATTTTTGTAACAGGGATAGCTAGGATCATCCAAAACTGCTTTTTTTTATGAACTTTGTTTCTTCTCTTCCTCCAAACTCAGCATCTTCATCCATTCCCGCAAAAAGAAGTTTCTATTGAATGGATTTGATTAAAATTTTAAGCCTCTCAGTGTAAAATAAATAATTTGATGCAGATGAGAAATCTGCTTCCTGGTATGATGAAGTATCAAAAGTCTGCATCCAATCATTTCATTAAACGCTCTTAGATTTTAGGAATATATAAGAAATATACTCCCATTTTAGTTACTGATCTGTCATTAATATTTTTTAATTTGACAAATCAGATCTTCTTCTCTTTTTCCTGTTTGGTGTGATTGGAATTGCGGATATTGACCTGGCCGGACCAGAGCGGAGCAAAAATAGCTCTGCTCCGTATTTCGACAGTGGCAGACGGAGAAGACTTATGTGGACGGTGACATGCGGAGGAGTAGCGGTGGATGTGGAACAGCTCTCACTGATTAACATGACAGACAAGTACTTCTCACGACGTACGTGAGTGGGGCGGAGCACTGACAGAGTATGTGGAATCTGGGGGTCAGCCATCCAGGTCATAGTCATTCCAAAAAGGTTAAAAAACAAACCACTGGACTTTCTTTTCCTAGCTTCAAGATGTTTCACTTCCACCCAGAAAGCTTTGTCAATTAAAAATATTTGGAGAAGCGTTGAGCTCCAGGCTTACAGAGTGGTAAAAACAAAAGCCTTGTTATGGCCAACCACCATGGTGGTTTGAAAGGGGCATGAAGGAAGCCATTTATATTGAGAGAGAAAAACCAACATTAAAAAGAGGGGGTGGACTCAGGTTTGAGCTCTCAAAAACCTATAACGTAGCGTTAGAGTTGATTCCTCCCGCTATCATCTCAATCGTCATCACCATGCAGGGGACCAAAACACCTTGACTGTTTAGCCAGTTCAACATAGACCCTAATGACTCCCTTTATAGAGGCATGGGCCAGCATCAGGTTTTGTAGGGCAACAACGACCTCAATGACTTCCCATTACCAATGGGTGGACCTGTTTCTCGGTTCAATTTGAATGTTTTCTAAGCCATAACAAGACTTTTGTTTGGGCCACTCTATAAGCCTGGAAATCAACATTACTCCAGACTTTTTGAATTGAGAAAGCTTTCTGGATGGGAAGCAAAACATCTTCAAACATGGAAAACAAAGTCAAATGAATATACAAAGCTAGCTCTTCATAAAGGAGGAAAAAAGCTTTAAATACACATTTTGGAACAAATGGGGATTTTAAAAAGAGCAGTGAACTTGGGTCCACACCTCAGTGAACTTTACTTTATAACTAAAACATATCACCCTCACGGGTCATCGATTAATCTGATAAATGTTTCATTTTATTTTCATATAAACTTCTTGGTCCCTCTTTTGATAAATTATGGAAATTCAAAACCGCTAAAGTAGGAGTGAAAAACAAAGGTCTTTCCTCTGGGTTTTCTCTCTTTAAAGTTGTCTCAAGTCTTTCTGGGGGTATTTTTCTATGGACTTTGGCTGACTTTCATTCCCTTTGGGTGGAATAATTCAGCGGTCTTCATCGCTGGTTCTTGTGACTCACAGTCTTTCAGTCTGTTTTCCAAGACTGCTGATTCAAAACAAATCTAATAACTCAAGAAAGCAAATAAAACTCCCTAAGCCAACTAAAATATGTAAAAAAAAAAAAGCATACAAGTGAAGCATCCTTTTAACATCCTACCCTTTCTAAACACAATACAAACAGTTGTAAAGGTAATAAAAATCATTTCCCACAATTTCTGCCAAAACCAGACTCCTACCAAGGTTAAATGATAAATGTTAGGTGTTGAAACCTTCTGATCTATGACATGGCAGTCAGACGTGCATGAGTCAGCAGAGACACTATTAATAGTCTCCAGAAACTTGTAAGGAATGCAACAGGTCCAGGAAACAAACTACTTCAAAACTCTGATTGCTTTGGAAACTAATCCAATTATATGAACACTAATGAGCCAGTTGAAAAATCACTGGACTGCTTTATTTTTTTGCTACTTTTAGCAGTAAAAGCCTCAAAAGCAATTTACCAGACATCCATAGAAATGAATCCCCTACAGCAACCTATCAATATGTCTGATTAGGACAACATAACTGCAGCAGACAGCCACCACCACTTCTCCACAGCAGCTGATGATCTGAAACCATCCGTCTGCGCCTCAAACTTCCACCCTCGTCCGTCTTCATTAGAAGCTCTCACAGAGCTGCCGCTGCTGCTCAGGAGAGGAGCTAGACGTTGATTAGCCAGGCGTTTAATGACTACCAGGCAACGGAGGAATAAACGGCAAGTCTGGGAAACTCCTCGCTTTCCTGTTTCCTCCGGGGAGTCTGGATGGATGGTTGGATGGATGGATGGATTTCCCCTTCTCCAGAGTCCAAGTAGCAGCCCTTAGTGCTCCTTATCCAGCATGGTCATTAAACAGGCTTCCCCTTCCATCTATTTACGCCTTAAATCAATCTTTCCTGGTAAATTAATATGTCTTGTTTTCTGTGTGATGCCTTCTTGACCCTAAAGGCTTACAAACTCAATTGAGCTTTGAAGTATTAAGCGTTTAGCTCTGAACACTGTGTAGTGAAGATAAAAGTCTGCTTCATATGGTTTACATTGCTGACTTCTAGTCTCAGTTTAACCTGACGACATGCTGCTGGGTTAAAGGTGCTAACCAGCATGTCTGCATGCATCAGCCTTGCATAATTAACCTGTGCAATACTCTGGAATACCAGCTGCAGGTAGGAATTCCCAGCTGTCACACAGGTGACATTCTTTGCATACCGTCACAGCTATTGCTGGGAAATGCAAGCAGGTATTTGACATGCTGCTGTCAATATTATCTAACAAAGAGATAAGTTAGAAAAACTAACCGGAAGATCACCTTCTAATGAGGTCATGCTGAAATATTTAGCATACAGTATAAAAAAAAAAAAAACTAGGAGGAGATTTAATGTAATACAAATATAAAAATACAGATTATATGAATAATTATATGTCATAAAAACAAACATGCATTAAACAGCTCTGTTGTAAAGAAAACTGCATCAAAATGCAGAATGTGATGGTGTTAGACTGCTAGTTGACAGTAATGGCATGAATGTCCGATAATCCACACAGGATTATTTGTCTCTGGAGATCTTCAGTCCATGATAAAGTGTTTCTATTGTAACATGATAACTTCATAAAACACAACTTTCTGCTCCTGATATCTGCTGTCCATTTAAAATATCTTAAAGTTGACAGCTGTAGTCTTTTCTTTTTTTTCTTTTCCTGTTCCCCGACCATATTTTTCAGTTTATTTTGCTGTATTCTTACTCCAATTTAGTGAGATTTCGATAAATCACACAGATTAACATTCAAATAATCTGTTTCAATCCCACAACTGTCTCTTTCAATGCAGCCACTTAAAGTTTCATTCTGTCAGGGCAATATTTCCAATATTATTTCGGGGTTAGACGGTAACAAGTTAGAAAGAAAAAATACAAATGATGCAACACAGCTAGATATGTAGGACGATGCTGCTGCAGTTAATATGTTTAATGCTCTTTTTTTAATTCTCCCAAGAAAATAAAAATTAGATAAAACATTAGAAAGATTTGCACAATTAAGGCTCCTCTGCTGAAAGATAGAGGGAAGATAATAATCGTGAAAGTTGTCTACATACAATACGACTCACATCTTTATTTAATATTAGAAAAAAAGGTTTCAAGTCTCTTCATGGAGGCTGTCTGGACTAATAAATGCTTTTGGGTTTTGTATGGCTGCCTGGTTGTGAGGCTGCAGTATTAAAGGTTTGTAGATATTCCCAGATCAATGATGATAAGGAAAGCCGACCAACGGCTTGAATGGATCATCATTAGGTCAATGAATGAATAAATAAAGAACAGAATGGAACTGTTCCCCCAGATAAAATCAATGCTTTGCAGGGCCAAATGTTTCAACACTGATAAAAATAAAGTTTAACTTTTAATTGTTACTTAACATATTTCTCTAATTATAATAAAAAAAAACTTAATGCATTCTAAATTATATATTTTTTTTGCAAAAAAGTCCAATTACTTAAAAGAATGAATTGATCTAACATAATATTTTTCTCTCCGTCACTCCTCTAATCCTGGTTAACTGGATTTCAACTTCTGCTTCAAATTCAGACTAATGATGAGACGTCTTCATTCTGATATAACAAGGTGATTTTAAGGGTTCAGAAACAAATATGAAAAAGTCAAAGAAAGACATGATTGTAACTCTCTAATGGCGTAAACATCTTTATTTGTAAAACTGTGAGGAAACGTTTCCATACATTTACAGAAAAAGCGACGAGAGAAGAAAACATTTTCAAAAAGTTTATGCCTACATCAAATAATATTTGCTTTGCTTCTAAATCTAAATGTCATAGTTTCAAATTGAAGACATAAACGCATATTTGTGTTTCATTTAAAATTCTCCATATGAAGCAGGAAAGAAAATAGATGCATTGATAAAATACATAATACATGCAAAGGTTAAGTTGCTAGTGTCTATACATAGCAACATAGCAACGGGTTACTGACATACACTGTACTGCAGCTATTAGTTGCATACCGTTTTTCGCTCAAAATGTCCCCTCCTCAAACTGAAAAAAACTAAAATAAATCATATTTACTCCAGCTTGCAGAACTCTGCAGTTGCTCCGTCTGACAGCCAGAGTCCAACGTAAAGAGGCTCTGTGAATGTGGTCTGGACTTTATGGAGGAGAGTCATGGTTTTAGAGACGCTGTAGAACGACAGAACACCTGCGGACTGATCCACATAAACTCCTAATTTGGAGGACCATGTGCCTGGGATGGACATTCTGATCCTGTTGTGCCTGAACTCACAGCTGTTCTTGAAACAATCAATAGCCCAAGATTGACTATTTTCCCCAAACATACATTGGCTGAATGTCCCAGCTCTGCTGATGCCTTTGTAACAGATGGCCACCATGACTCCCCTGGTGTTTCTCTCCACTTCCAGGTAGCAGCGGTTAGTTAGAGGCTGTTGACTCAGGACCTGCCAGGTGTACGCAAACCTTTCCGGGTGGTTGGGATAGTTCTGTTCTTCACCTATACAGGTGACTTTTCGGTTCTCTTTGTCTAGCATTAGGTTTGGGTTAGCAGTGTCTGGATTGAGGGTGATTTGACATGCATATTGAAGAAATTGAGCTCTAGTTTGTAAAACCTTCCTGGGTGTTTTAATTCTTCCCAGTAAAACATCAGGACTCCTTTCAGGAAGTTTGTTTGTTTTTATAAGATCAGGATTCTCTTTTCTATTGATAGGGAGGAATTCCTCCGTTTCTTTACCCAAATCACCATTTTGTGCAAATCTAACCGTTGGTTCTTCCCTATACAAGTCCAGTGAGACCTGTCTAGAGTGTCTGGAATCACGAAATCTAGGCTTTGAAAAGTCAGCTCTGTTCAGATTGGGACTAACGAGGGTCTGTAAGATTCTGCCTTGAACAAACTCAGCGGTGGTCTGTCCATGCTCTGGTTTGATCTGAGAGGACTTAAACCGGGTCTCCTCTGGTTCTGTTTGTGGTGTGGTGGGAAAACTCGCTCCAGTGATTGCAAGAATAATCTTTTCACATTCTTCATCAAGAACCTTGTGCAGTCTCTTTTTGGCCTCGCTAACAGTGGCAGTAACCCTCTCAAAGTTCCGCTGGCGGCGGAGCCTGATGCTTGGCTGACCTTTAGGTTCACTCAGACGAGACAGTGAAGGATACTTTAACAGGAAATGGGTATGGTCTTCTGTATGGTACAGTTTGTCCAGCTCCACATCCTTCCTGTTCAACTCTTTAACCTCATCCTCCAGCTTGTTCCTAACGTTTCTGAACCGACCCACCTCAGAGTTCTGCCGGGAGAGCATCTTTTGCTTCATATGAGCTAGTTTTTTCTCAGTTGTCCTAATGAAGTCAGTAAAGACCTGGTCGGTGGAGCTCAGTGCAATGCCAGCGGCATTACTTAGTGAATCTTCCTCCTGCTGAAAAGCTTCCACATCTTTCCTCTTCTCCCGGATCATCTGCTGGACTTTTTGTCTAACTGTCTGAAGATCCTTCTGCCTGTCTGCCCTCTCAGCAGCCGTGGAGACTTTGATGTGGCCTTTGTGATCATCCTTGGAGCAAAGGTAGCAGATGCAGCGCTGATCGGTCCGGCAGAACATCTTCATCACTTCTTGATGCTGAGGGCAGATGCTCTCCTCGAGGTCGGCAGTTGGTTCCACCAACTTGTGCTTCCTTAAAGGTGGCACTTCATTGTGAGGCTGGAGGTGCGTGGCACAGTAGGAAGCCATACACTGGAGGCAGGATTTTATGGCTTTTACCTTCCTGTCAGAGCAGAAATCACACACTACAGCTCCAGGTTCTACATCACCATCATTATCTGGAGGTCCAGGCTGGACGTCAGGCGGATCTTTCTTCCTTAGCTCTTGAACTACCAGTTCTATCATGCTGTTTTTTACCAGAGTAGGCCTCGACATGAAGATCTCCCTGCATTGCGGGCAGCTGTAAATGCCTGAATTTTCTTCACTGTCTAGGCGCTTGTTGATGCAGGTCAGGCAAAAGCTGTGACCGCAAGGTACAGACACTGGATTGTTGAGCAGATCTAAGCAGAGCGAGCAGCAAAATCTGTCGCGTTCCAGTTGAATCCCCTGTGCCATCTTTTCCTCCGTCAGCAGCAGCTACCAGAAAACTAAAAAGAAATGACTGGAGGTGCTTGGCTTCATCAAAACATATACAGCTGAGAGGGGGGTGGCAATTCAAGCTCCGCTTCATTCCAGAAATGGGCGTGGCTTCAAACAGGAAGGTTGTTCTTAGTTCCTGTAAGTTATGATGATACCAGTTGGGGATTTTACCAGAATAGCAGAACGATTGCATGTCATTCTGACAGGTCATTGTTGTGTTACATAAGTATTAAGATATGTTATCAGTTTTTTAGTAAAAGTTACATAAAAATGGCTGGTATTTACTTGGCAGTGCAAGTGTCTAGTAAACTGGTTTAACATTTCCAGATATTTTGTCATTTTATGGAACTAATGTATACAAGGATGTAATGCCTAAAAGATGCAGAGTTGGGGGGTATATAAACCTACAACTGCGGCCTTTAACAACCCATTGTTTAAACGAAATAAATAACGTGAAAATAATGTAGATAAGTCAGACAACAATGCTACTTTAACTTTACTTAAACAACAAGAGAGAAGTTTTTTTTATAAGAGATGTAGGTCAATGGATTTAGCCCTTTTGTTCAGACTGTGAGCATAGATGGCAAGCCTCTTAATGTGGACTAATAAAACATTTAACTACTAAAAACCTGCATTTGGATGGAAACCAATACGTATCCTTGTTGTTGTAAAGCTAATGAATCTTAGGAGATTGCTCCTTTCCACAAGCAGGACCAACAGATTGCTGAACTCCTTTGTTCCC